CACTCAGGTATAAATTGAATTGAAATACCTTTATTGTACATTCATGCCACGACGAGCTAGGTACAGGTCAAGATATAACAGACATATAACAAACGTATATAGAAAAGTGGAGACAACAGATACCCTTCTTGACTTAGACATACATACATAAGGAACATATAAGAGTATTATACTAGGCTAATACAAAGTGTTCTAGTCACTGAGCTAATATAGAGAGGTCAAGTTCTTCTCGCTTTTTTGTACAATGAAAAATGTGGGAACAGATCATGTTTGTGATACATGGTTCGTCTAGACGCATCAAAAAGTATAAATCTATCATTTTGCACTTAGGTGTTAAAAGTATGGGAACTTCTCTTTGATATGATAAAAAGGACAGATCTTTCATTAGTATATAAAGTACAGTCTAAAATAAAGTGTTGTGAATTCATCTTCTACATGTATTCTATTCATGTTACAGTATTGACAGTCTATTCTGGAACAATTACCAAGTCATCAGCATATAGTAAACAGGGAACCCTTTTGTTGTGCATAACAGAGGGATCGCAATGGGTGCTGCCGAATTGAGTTACAATGTCACTCACAAATGAATTGAATAACGTAGGGCTTAAATTACACCCTTGCCGTACCCCACAGTTAGTGACAAAGGTTTCAGTCAACCCATTTCTAGATTTGACACAATTTTTAGTATTGGAATACATACAAATCTACCGCGTATACTGAGTTTACTTAGTTTAAGCAAGAGACAATTTCGCCAAACAGAATCAAATGCTTTGCTGAAATCCACATATTTGCTAATTAGAGTACTTAAAACAGACAGATTATCGGTTGTTCCAAGTTTTTTTTTCTGAAGCCGGCTTGGTGAGGTTGAACGAGGTTGTTTTGTTTAGCGTATTTAACGAGACGTAAATTTAAAATGGATGAGAAAAGTTTCCCTAAACAGCTGATTATTGAGAGTCCTCTGTAGTTGTCTGGCAATGAGGTATCTCCTGACTTGTGGATGGGTACGATATGACTGACTGACCATTCTTATGGGAAATATCCGTTATTTAAACATGAGTTAAACAGGTGAAGTAGCGGTTCTTTGAGCAGCATTTTACCATATTTTAACATTTCATTCAGGAATTCTATCATTTCCGCTTGATTTATTGTTTTTTTTTAGTTTTGAAAGCGCAGTGTCTAGTTCTTCAGGGGTAATTGCTGAATCTAAAACTGAATTTGGAGGGGGAACGTTCCTTGGTCGTCGACGTTGGGAAGAATGGTTTCTGTTAGACTGTTTGGCATCTTGTCTAGGTTCTTAAAGTGATTCAGCCACTCTTAGTCTGATACCTCGTTACCTACATCTAACTTTTCAGGTTTTAAGTTCCAAAAGGCACTTGGACTTCCGTCTCTCAAGAAAGAGAGTTGGTTAAGAATTTGTTGGTGAAAATCTCTTTTTTCTTTTTTAACAATTTCTTATATTCTTTTTTACTTTGGAAGAATCTACCTCTTATCTCAGAATTAAACGGATTTTTTTCAAGTAGTGAGGCCATATTTTTCAGTTCACGTTTCGTTGTTATGCAAGATTTGTCGAACCATTTCTTGTTTTGTCGTTTTCTAATATTCTTTAAATGAAGCGACTGTTCGCCTGCCTCTCTCAGAATAGAACTAAATTCAGACACTTGTTCAATTTCTGTGGCAGTGTTAGTGTAGCCTGGACCATTAAAAGAAAGCGTCTGTAGTCTTTTGACAAAGCCGGGCTGGCTAAGGGAATGGATGAATTTTTCGGCAGACTTTTCATTCTAATGGAATTGTTTTTGGGAGAGGCATAGAATTTGAGCTTTTTTGTTTTGCTTGGTTGGGGTGTTTTGTTGAATTTGAATAGATCAGGGTCGAAATCATGCAGTGGTTGGAGAATGCTGTTAATGCACGGAAAGACAAAATTTGTGAGACTAAGGGCTGACTGCAGATCATGTAGTCGACAGTGCTGCTGCCGCGTGGTTGATGACATGTAAATTTACCTTGTAAATCGCCAACTACCCTTCCGTTTAGTACTCTAAGGTTTGCTTGGATGCAGAGATTAGCGATGTGTCTACCGAATTTATTTGGTGGGGCTTTATCTACGCGTTGTCTATCTGTGGAATAAGGAAAGGTATTTACATCGCTGTCTTCAGAGATGTTATCGTCTACATAATCGCGTGGATTTACAAGACGCGCATTTAAGACACCACCAAGTAAGATAAATCGTTGCGAACTGTACTTAGATGTTTCGTTTTCTAGTATTTCTAAAGTGTGGTTCTCTGAGTATTTATGAGTAGTCGACGCACTGGGCCTAATGTAAGTCGAACAAATGAACAGATCTTTTGATAGACCTAGCAATTGTCTGTATAGCAATTGTACCCACAGAACATCTGTTGATTTGGACTGTACTTTCTTTATGTAGTTTTTGTATTCATTTTTGTAGAAGAAGATTATCCCTCCAGATGAGCGCTTCGCACGCTTGCTCTTTTGTCTGTGCTGGTGAAAGAACTATAATTAGAGATGTTAATTTTTGTATTGCTAGTACTTCAGGTCTACAGGAGCGAGAAGTCGAATTTGTTTACATAAGATACAAAATCTAAATCCTCTAATTTTGGTCCTAACCCATGCACGTTCCAAACTCCAAAGCTTTTGTTTCCGGTGCCTGGAATTATTTTTATCCTGTTGACAAATACTAAGAAAAAGAGAAATTGTGTCTTTACCTCACGAAACCACAATACGTTACTAAACTACAATACGTGTACCTGACAGGGTTTTAGCAATTCAGTGTTAAAAAAAAGAGGAAAGAAAATCTTGAACAATAAAACTACGTGTTTTTGCTACAGTGTATATTCAATTTTCAAATTAAGATATCATTGAGAAACAGACTACAACGCTAACTAACGTATCAAGCTTGTAGGTGATTGTATTTTGGTAAACTACTAGTATTTAACGTTGTACCGTACTGTACATTCGAGTTAATCAGCTATGTTATGAACAGAGTTCAATACTATATACATATATTTATTTATTTATTTTTTGGTTTGGATGGTACAAGACAGCCAGGGCAGCCCAATTGTAACATAAACATATACATAAACATGAACATTTACATATAAACCCTACCACATGAACATCGGTGGCCACATCATATGGGGTGCCATGGCCAGGGTGGTGGGTTCATCCGTGTTGGTTGGCTGGGCTGGCTTGAGAGTCT